TTAAAACATTTATTTTGAAAACCGTTCTGTCATTTAGAGATTAAAACATTTATTTTGAAAACCGTTCTGTCATTTAGAGATTAAAACATTTATTTTGAAAACCGTTCTGTCATTTAGAGATTAAAACATTTATTTTGAAAACCGTTCTGTCATTTAGAGATTAAAACATTTATTTTGAAAACCGTTCTGTCATTTAGAGATTAAAACATTTATTTTGAAAACCGTTCTGTCATTTAGAGATTAAAACATTTATTTTGAAAACCGTTCTGTCATTTAGAGATTAAAACATTTATTTTGAAAACCGTTCTGTCATTTAGAGATTAAAACATTTATTTTGAAAACCGTTCTGTCATTTAGAGATTAAAACATTTATTTTGAAAACCGTTCTGTCATTTAGAGATTAAAACATTTATTTTGAAAACCGTTCTGTCATTTAGAGATTAAAACATTTATTTTGAAAACCGTTCTGTCATTTAGAGATTAAAACATTTATTTTGAAAACCGTTCTGTCATTTAGAGATTAAAACATTTATTTTGAAAACCGTTCTGTCATTTAGAGATTAAAACATTTATTTTGAAAACCGTTCTGTCATTTAGAGATTAAAACATTTATTTTGAAAACCGTTCTGTCATTTAGAGATTAAAACATTTATTTTGAAAACCGTTCTGTCATTTAGAGATTAAAACATTTATTTTGAAAACCGTTCTGTCATTTAGAGATTAAAACATTTATTTTGAAAACCGTTCTGTCATTTAGAGATTAAAACATTTATTTTGAAAACCGTTCTGTCATTTAGAGATTAAAACATTTATTTTGAAAACCGTTCTGTCATTTAGAGATTAAAACATTTATTTTGAAAACCGTTCTGTCATTTAGAGATTAAAACATTTATTTTGAAAACCGTTCTGTCATTTAGAGATTAAAACATTTATTTTGAAAACCGTTCTGTCATTTAGAGATTAAAACATTTATTTTGAAAACCGTTCTGTCATTTAGAGATTAAAACATTTATTTTGAAAACCGTTCTGTCATTTAGAGATTAAAACATTTATTTTGAAAACCGTTCTGTCATTTAGAGATTAAAACATTTATTTTGAAAACCGTTCTGTCATTTAGAGATTAAAACATTTATTTTGAAAACCGTTCTGTCATTTAGAGATTAAAACATTTATTTTGAAAACCGTTCTGTCATTTAGAGATTAAAACATTTATTTTGAAAACCGTTCTGTCATTTAGAGATTAAAACATTTATTTTGAAAACCGTTCTGTCATTTAGAGATTAAAACATTTATTTTGAAAACCGTTCTGTCATTTAGAGATTAAAACATTTATTTTGAAAACCGTTCTGTCATTTAGAGATTAAAACATTTATTTTGAAAACCGTTCTGTCATTTAGAGATTAAAACATTTATTTTGAAAACCGTTCTGTCATTTAGAGATTAAAACATTTATTTTGAAAACCGTTCTGTCATTTAGAGATTAAAACATTTATTTTGAAAACCGTTCTGTCATTTAGAGATTAAAACATTTATTTTGAAAACCGTTCTGTCATTTAGAGATTAAAACATTTATTTTGAAAACCGTTCTGTCATTTAGAGATTAAAACATTTATTTTGAAAACCGTTCTGTCATTTAGAGATTAAAACATTTATTTTGAAAACCGTTCTGTCATTTAGAGATTAAAACATTTATTTTGAAAACCGTTCTGTCATTTAGAGATTAAAACATTTATTTTGAAAACCGTTCTGTCATTTAGAGATTAAAACATTTATTTTGAAAACCGTTCTGTCATTTAGAGATTAAAACATTTATTTTGAAAACCGTTCTGTCATTTAGAGATTAAAACATTTATTTTGAAAACCGTTCTGTCATTTAGAGATTAAAACATTTATTTTGAAAACCGTTCTGTCATTTAGAGATTAAAACATTTATTTTGAAAACCGTTCTGTCATTTAGAGATTAAAACATTTATTTTGAAAACCGTTCTGTCATTTAGAGATTAAAACATTTATTTTGAAAACCGTTCTGTCATTTAGAGATTAAAACATTTATTTTGAAAACCGTTCTGTCATTTAGAGATTAAAACATTTATTTTGAAAACCGTTCTGTCATTTAGAGATTAAAACATTTATTTTGAAAACCGTTCTGTCATTTAGAGATTAAAACATTTATTTTGAAAACCGTTCTGTCATTTAGAGATTAAAACATTTATTTTGAAAACCGTTCTGTCATTTAGAGATTAAAACATTTATTTTGAAAACCGTTCTGTCATTTAGAGATTAAAACATTTATTTTGAAAACCGTTCTGTCATTTAGAGATTAAAACATTTATTTTGAAAACCGTTCTGTCATTTAGAGATTAAAACATTTATTTTGAAAACCGTTCTGTCATTTAGAGATTAAAACATTTATTTTGAAAACCGTTCTGTCATTTAGAGATTAAAACATTTATTTTGAAAACCGTTCTGTCATTTAGAGATTAAAACATTTATTTTGAAAACCGTTCTGTCATTTAGAGATTAAAACATTTATTTTGAAAACCGTTCTGTCATTTAGAGATTAAAACATTTATTTTGAAAACCGTTCTGTCATTTAGAGATTAAAACATTTATTTTGAAAACCGTTCTGTCATTTAGAGATTAAAACATTTATTTTGAAAACCGTTCTGTCATTTAGAGATTAAAACATTTATTTTGAAAACCGTTCTGTCATTTAGAGATTAAAACATTTATTTTGAAAACCGTTCTGTCATTTAGAGATTAAAACATTTATTTTGAAAACCGTTGTCGTTTAGAGATTAAAAGTTTTATTTTGAAAACCGTTCTGTCGTTTAGATATTAAAACTTTTATTTTGAAAACCGTTGTCGTTTAGAGATTAAAACATTTATTTTGAAAACCGTTCTGTCATTTAGAGATTAAAACTTTTATTTTGAAACCCGTTCTGTCGTTTAGAGATTAAAACTTTTATTTTGAAACCCGTTCTGTCGTTTAGAGATTAAAACATTTATTTTGAAAACCGTTCTGTCATTTAGAGATTAAAACTTTTATTTTGAAACCCGTTCTGTCGTTTAGAGATTAAAACTGTTATTTTGAAACCCGTTCTGTCGTTTAGAGATTAAAACTTTTATTTTGAAAAGGCTGCAGATGTGGGGCGGTTTGCCACTGTTGGGCGTGGCCTGTCTTTGACGTTTTCGTTGCACTGGTTGCAGTAGCAAAACAAACCCAATGTTATACGCAGCACTGTGTTCTGAGCTGCGTTTTCATTAGCAATTCACAGAGGTAAATACATTAATATTTATTTGAACGTCAGACGGTTATCATTTATTATGCCAGGTCTTATCTAACGAATGGGACACTACTAACGTTACGAGTTTTTCTCTTGACATGTTGAGTTTTTATGTTGACGGGTAACGTTATATACAATTTTCTGTTTTCGTGAGTGTGTGGTTATAATGTTGTTTCGAATCCTCGCAGGGTGTAAACGGTCAGGTTTGTGAAACTCTTTGAACGGTAGCAAGGAGGAAGTGGGGTTTGTTGGCGAGGAAAAGAAAGTAAACTGCTCCACAGTGCTCTTCTGGATCAGCGGGGTGGGTCAGCAGAGCCCACGTGTTAACAGCACATGTGACTGTCGTTTGCTTTAATACAGTGTTTCTCAACCAGGGGTCCGTGGACCCCCTAGTGGTCCTTGACGTAAGGCCAGGGGG